TTTTTTCGGATTTTTTTTTATACTCGAATGGCTCGTTAAATTCTCGGGAATTTTAGAGAGAAAGAGAGAGTAGAGAGAGGAAAGAGAGAGAGAAGAGAGAGTGGAGAAAGGATGGAAGGGCAAAAACGTAAAAGGGGGGGTGACTAGTAAAAAGAGGGCGGTAAATAGCGATTCACTTTTCTTAATCAATAAATATTACTTATATTATATAAATATTATGTGAGTCAACCTATATAACTTATACTACATCCTATTCTTTTTAAATGTCATTTTGACATTATCAACTATTAACAAAATAAATAACGTTTTGGATATTTTACATATATTTTTCCATTATTATCCTCATATAGCTAATAAATACACTAAATCTTTTTATATTCACTCTTCATCTTTTCTCAAAGCATTCATCTGCATCCTCATTAATGAGGGTTATTATTGGCAAAAGAATATTCTTAATAAATGTACAACTTCTCAAAGCGACACTTATTATGAATAGGAGGGAGTATTATGGTAGTGCTCGATTTATTATAATTTTTATTTAAATATATATATATATATATATATATATAGAATTATATATATATAGGTAAGAACTATCTATAAACTATATGACATTTAATAGTCTAATATATTAATATGTATAATTTAATTGAAAAACATTATATTTGAAATTAAAAAATCAAAAACTATATAACATTTCATAATATAAGTATGCAATTTTGTTCAAAAAGTATTGACGGATCTACCAGTCTAACGATTAGACCACCTCATACAAAAATTTGTAGGGACAATTAGTCACAAATATAGCAGATCTCTCATCCGTACAACAAATATCACGATTTATTTTTTGTAACTAATTATTTAGACAAATCGATCTGATATACTTGCTTGGAAGAAAATATATACATATACAACTAGAAAGTCATAGTTTTGTTTATGTTATTTTTTTTTTAATAATTTTAATATGAATGACTGCATATAGTAATGCTCACCTACCCACGATGGGCACATGTTAATATGTCCACCGCTTATGTGGCATGTACACAATGGTGATGTTAATATGTTCACAAAAATACATCACCAATGTGTGCAAGGCACATAAGCGGTGGGCATATTAACATGTGCCCACCGTGGGTAGGGGAACATTACTGTGAATGCATATGCTTATTTTAAAAACTAGTATTGTCTAACAACTCTTTAAAAGGCAAACATAACTTGGCAGCCAAAAGATTCAACTCTCATAGTCCAATACATTGTTCGAAGAATTCTAGCCGAGGGGCCAAGCCCTTTCCCCCTATAGACGTTAAGACTATTCAGCCGTCGGTACATTTCCGATCTAATAATTAGACCTCACATAGTCCTACTTCCAGTCGCAGCCTGAAAGTTCTTACAATCATTTCAACCTTCAAAATCACTCAAGTGGTCCGTTCGACAGTTGAGATTCGAACATGGTACATTGAAGTACAAAAGTAAAATTATATGATCTGTTCACTTTTCTATGGCGCGGATTCGGGAAGTACAACAAGTTTTACAAATAATTGCAATATACGTTCATTTGCCCGAACAGAGTTCCAACCTTACCTCATTTAAGGCTGAAACTATCAACACGTTGTACCTAAGTTTTCTTTTTCCTTTTTTCTGGCTTCTTGATCAAATTTCGCCTTCATTTTCTGCCAAGAAAAGTTTGTAGCACTTGGATACACCAAGGCTACACTCTCTTCATTGAGCTATGATTTCAACCCCTGCTTCCCATCGTACGCACTCTATCAATGATCATTTGCCGACCTGTTAAATCTTCTTCATAACCAACAACCTGTGGATAATCAGATCGATTAAGAGACAGAATCAGACATACTATTGAGATAGTCAAGCTACACGGTCAAATTCCTGTTGACTAAAAGAAGATAGCACAAATCATGAAATATGTTACATATATGTAAAAAGATGAAACCTGAGAATCAGTCTGCGTCTCACTAAAGCCATCATAAGGGTTTGTTGCTGAAGCCACGGCAGACGGTAGATCATCCCTTTTTTCTACCCTGAGAAACGTGAAATATCTCCTCAGTAGTTTGCAGAATATTATTAATCACAAACGAAAAACCTTTACATATGTATAGCTAGGACAGGATTTGGTTATGCAAACAATTTCAAACAACTAATGCAAGCTTGGTTCATGGATTTGGTGCTCTAATGACCTTGTTTAGTACTTCGATTTACATTAAGGCTAAGGGCACACAGTGGGTTCTAAACCTAGTCACTGGAAGCACATGTGAGACCCAAGATTCACTCATATGGATGCATTAAGAATTTTGTCTGTTTGAAGAGTGATTGTCCCTTTGGAAGTTGACCAAATACGTACCATCTTATACTCCCATTTCACAAACCACACATTCTAGATTGAAATAACTTGGTCTATAATTTGATTAATGGAGCATGTTTCACCATGCAAAGCTGAAGAACTAGGGAGAAGTTTGGGGAAAAAATTGCCTCCCAAAATATGTGGTTGTTGTCACTTTTCCCCTAACGTTTGAAAGATGTCATATTCAATACCAGAGTATAGGTATTGACAAATTGCTACATGAAGTTTCAAATGCTAACAAGAAAATTACAACTCAATCAGTGACGAATTTTGAATCGAATTGTAAAATTGATTTGACTTTTGACACTCATGATAAGATGAACAAAATGATATGAGTTTATCAATTCTGGTTAAGTGGTTCGTCGATAATCGACCGCCGAAGAAGGTGTTTGACACTTGTGCATAGGAACAACTTTGTTATTGATATTTCAATGACTAAAATATCTGAGTTTCAATCAGGAGAATTCTTTTGAAAGCTTGCGAACGAGGTTTCTAGTAAAATAGGCCTTATGCAAATCGCAATGTGGGATTTCATCAGTAGCACAAACAATATATATTTCTCAGTTTTGTCTAGCTACTGACAGGAATCCGACTTACGGATTATACGATCTACCTCGGATTATACGATCTACCTCATTTGAAAACTCATCTTGCAAGTTTTCTTCACGACCCCTCCTGATTAAAAATCTGTTATCTTGGTCGTCGAACAATAAAAAACATTTTTTTCTTATGCACATGTGTTGCCTATGAACCATTAATCTGAAATTGACATATCAAAAATAATTTTGTTCATCTTATCATAGATTTCCAAAGCCCTAAATCAATATTTTATTTAAATTCAAAATATATTGTTAATTAGGTTAGAAAAGTTTTGTTTTATTCTAAAACTTCAAGAGACAAATTGTGAATTTTGTATAATTCGGAATGGAATCTGACAACTTTTAAACATAAGGAGACGAAGTGACAAAAAACCGATTACTTGGGGCGGTCAAAAAAATTCCAAGAAACTATCAAAAGAAACAAAAAAAAAAGCATGATATGACACCATGTTCACCTGTTCAACCACAGCTTGGATGGCCCTAAGATAGACTGTTGATTGTCATGCCTTTGTCCAATTGTAGAATTAGAAAACATGAACTGCTGGTGATTAAGAAAAACTTCAGTAAAGACAAATTGTTAAAAAAGGGTTAAATACAAAATGATTATGGGGATACATTTTCACGGGAGCCACTTGCCTCCTGAGACTTCCGATCTTGTTCGATCTGAACAAAGACACCAGTTAAAACATGGTTTAAGATCATTAACTTTGATAATGAGAGAGATCATCAGAAAATTAACCTTGCTAGTTTGCTCCAACAAATCTTCTATAGCCGCAGCAACATCAGGAACTATAGAAATTTTCTCTGCAATCTCAGTTACATTGCTTTCGGTAGGACTCTTCGTACCGAGAGAATTATCAGTGGTGGAGTCAAAAGATAGAGGACACTTTATGCTATCATATTCCACAACTCTTGCCCGCTTACTACCACTGGAATTTTCTTCATCTCTCCCTTGACACTCTGTTGAGGCAACTTTTTGTATATTCCTGAGATCGTGTAATGGATTAATACGCTGGGAGGTATCTAAAGTCATGCGAACGGACTGTGTAGAATACTGACTAACAGAACACAATTCCACATGCCGATCTTGAGAGATAAGCTCTTTAGGGTGAAATCTCTCCAAGTCAACAATTTTGTTCTGTCTCGGCATAAGCAGCAGCCAAGTTTAGACAAAAAAAAGAACAAAAGATAAAATATAAACAATGCAGTGCTAAGGTTGTGGGAAAAAAGTACCTGTGTGGTACATTCAAATATCCACTCGGCTGTAACTACGTGTATCCCCCATCTACAAGCAGCTTCGTATTTATCACCATCGGCAAACTTACAAAGTAGATGAGTGACTTTCTTGGTCAGTTTTTCGATGAACTTCGCTCCAAGAACATAGCACAAATTTCTTAGCAGTTGCCTTTCTTTTGTGTCATAGCGCGAAACACAGATCCGATATTTTTCAAATCCAGGTAAAGGAATATGGCATGAAAGTGGAGAGTAGAGAATGTGACTACTAACATCCAACAAACAACCATCCTGCAAAAATAAGTCCAAACTCCATTAGCAGTCAAAATTCCAAAATTTACCATGCATAAACAAGTGGTTATACGATATTGATGAAGTTGAAGAACAAATGATACTTTGAAAATTTTTTAGGGCATAAATAAAGGCTAAACATGTTTTTAGGACATTAAGAAGCATTAAAGGCCTTACATGTAGAAGAGACAGATAGGTAGTAGCATCTCCGAGCTAATTATAAGCTCATAAGCAAAGTGCTAAATCATAACAATGCTAGGTGAAGATATAAGAAAACCCAAATTTAGGTTGTTTATTTGTTTGGTAGCAAAAAGATGGGTATGCATTCTTGAAATGGAATTTGGCAAACATACCAATCCTCATCTGATTCGACATAGAGAATGTGAAACACTGAAATGATGTTTCAGGCACTCCATTCAGAGTAGCCACAAAAGAAAGAAGTTCCATAAGTTCTAATTACACGCATCTATCCCCCTATATATAATTCCCAAATGCATTGAGCCTAAGTGGCAGCTTCGCACGCTTCGGATTCCTATGTGGCAAAAAACAATGCTTCGTAACTAGGCTTGAAGGCTTTGATTGCACTAAACATCTATATAACTCACATTAAATTTGTGATTTATCTCTTCCTTATTTTCTTCTTCAGTCAGCTACCATAAACTACTTTATGTTTTTTTTTCTCTACATTAACATATATTACATTTCTTTTTATTATTTAATTCATTAAAATTTAAATTTATTGATCAAACTAAATTAAAAATATCAAATAAAACTATAAATTACATTATATAGCAATAGAAATTGATTTATATTAACATACATAAAATAGTTATTTTAATTGGAAAAATATATATATAAATTAAGTGTGAACATAAAATAAATATAAAGATATATTCTAACATTTATGTCTCAACTTAAATAAAGACTACAGAGAGATTGAACATTATAATGATAAAAAAGAAAAAAATCTCGATGAACATTATAATTAAAAATAATAAAAATAATTATTATATATAAAATATAATCAAACTTGGAAAATTTTTAAATAAATTCAAAATCAAATTGTTGAGTTCCAAATAATATATATATAAATATATATGTGCGTGTGTATGTGAGAGAGAGAGAGAGAGAGAGAGAGAGAGAGAGAGAGAGAGAGAGAGAGAGAGAGAG